ATTTCTTTTGTTAGGTTGATTCCTAGCAATTTCAGTTTTTTGGATGCTACTGTGAAAGGAATTGTTTGCCCTATTTCTCCCTCAGTGAGTCTGTTGTTCGTGTAGAGGAAAGCTATTGATTTTTGTGTGTTGACCTTGTATCCAGCTACTTTACTGAATTTGGTTACTGAGTCTAGAAGACTTTTGGTGGAGTTCTTGGGTCTTCTATATAGAGTATCATGTCATCGGCAAATAATGAAAATTTGACTTCTTCATTTCCTATCTGTATTCCTTTTGTTCTTTCTCTTGTCTAATTCCTGTGGCTAATGTTTCCAAGACTATATTGAACAGGAGTGGTGATAGTGGACATCCATGTGTTGTTCCTGACTTTTGTGTGAAGGATTTCAGTTTTTGACCATTTAGTATGATATTGGCTGTTGGTTTTTCATAGATGGCTTTTTTCAGGGAATTAGCTTTTTAGCAGGTATGGCTGTTTAGAAGAAAATGGGCAGCCACTATGTAATTGTTCAATTATAACACAGAATCAAAGAACAGAAGATTCGTGTGTAAAAATGAGAAGTACCAGTATATTCACAGCCATTATCTACTTGCCCAAGTTAACTGACTTCAGTGATTTTATTTGTAAAGTTATTAGCAGTTACTGAGACATAAAGTTTCCACAGGGCCTAGCAGAGACAAAGATGAAAACATGACTAAAAATAACTATTTTCACCCCTCAACAAACACTGATTTAGGTACTGATTTAGATTAAATTAATGAAATCAACACTAGCCTGCATTCATGAAGAGCTTCTTTGACATTTTAGCCTGATTTCTTATTCCCAGTACACCAGTCACATGGGAAGGAGATACTCTCAAATCTTAAATGCAAGTATATCAGTAAGCTCACGATCTCAACACTACTGTTCTTATGTTTTTAAAGAAATATTCAAAAGTACTTTATAATTTGGTTTTAAATCAACCCCTAAAATGAAAGGAAACCCTATTCTAAGCCTAGTTATCAGGCAACTATAACATACTCAAGGAATTTGAGGTTCGGCTGTAATTAGTGTCTTTGAAGAATAAAAACTGTGTGGGGAAACTCAACAGTCTCACCCCATGTGGAGTGAACTGGAAAGATACATAAAACAGATGGTCATGGCTCTCTTACGCTCATATTTCTCCTAGGACAGCAGAAGCCAGTTAAGCCAGTGTAATTCCAAGGACGTATATACTATGGTTGTTATTTACCATGTGCATATCTGCATTACATTAGTACTCTAAAAAATAAGGTAATTTTGTTAGTTCCTCTAGAAAAAGAAACAATCATAATTCTCCTGCAGTCAATCTTATCTTCCTTGCCTCACACTAAAACTGAGAATGTTTTCACACACAATTAAGAAGTATAAGACACGCACTGTCCCTTTAGCCCATGTAGGCAGGGAACAACAGATGAACTATCTTTTCTTTTACAAAACAAATGGAAAAATTAGAAAACTCTAAAGGTCTTGATCCAAAAGGGCAGGGCCATGTGCACCCTTTCCATTGGGCTGTGATGCCTGGCATGGAAGTGGCACTTCATGGAATGTCCTCGGCAGAGTGGAAGAATGAAGAAACAATGCCAACAAATGATTAATTTCTCTTTAGAGGTTAGAGATGAAAAAAATAGCTCTAATGTAGTCTCTCTGCAAGACTGAAGACAAAGGTTCCTTTCTAGTTGGTCATTTTCTTCCTTATACTGTTTGTCCTTGGGCCTGGGATTTAGCTCAGGGGTTCTGCTGCCTGCCTCACAAGCACAAGGTCCTGAGTTCAATCCCCAGTACCAAAAAAAAAAAAAAAAATTCCACTGTTTGTCCTCTTAGGTTAAACACTGAAAATGGGTGTATATATGACAGAACCCTGTGCTTTTCTCTATCCATGTAATCTCTCAAACTCTTTAGGCTCAAACGATATACCATAGTTTTCAACATTGTTGAGGTGGGAAAATCACTTCTAAATCTAAGAATACAAATGATATACAATAGTAATCTATTTATATTCAAATTCATTAAACTGCTCCCTTCATAATTACATTGTCTCATCAAATTTTCCTTAAAAACTTATTGTGTAATTAAAGAAGAATCTCTCCTAAACAACAGAGGATCAAAGGATGAACAGGAGAGAGAACAAGTATCTTCAGATTTTCCAGTTTAAAAAAAAAAAAAATATATATATATATATACAGTAGACCCTCAAGTTATGACTGGCTTGACATATGAACAACTTGGGTTAATTAGGTTAATGAAAAATTAATCTGCCTCTTGTTATCTATAGCGTGTACCCAGGTAAACATCCAGGTCTCGGCTATATTGACTTAGAAGCAATGTGAGTTACAACCTGCCCCTGGGAACTGATTAAGTTCATAAGTCAACGGTCTACTGTATAATAATAAACTTTCTATTATGCATTTATATTGATTAATTTTTACAAACTGTCACTCAGCAACACCAATCATGATAACTTACTGAGCACTTACTATGTCAGGCACTATTCAAAGTAATTTACACATATTAACTCATTTTAATGGCTACAGTACCTTTCTAAGATGGGTACCATTGTTCCCATTTTATAGATGAGCAAGCCGAGGCATTGAGAGGTGAAGTACTTACCTGGAACCACACAAGTAATACTGTAAGTAGTAATATTGGGATTTGAACCCAAGCAGTTTGGCTCCAGAGTCCATGCTATTAGCCACCAGGCCAGTAGTTCTTTAATTTTTTAGTATCAAGACCTTTTTACCTGTATTTTTCAAAATTTGACCCATTTTATTATACAGTATGAAAAAAAATCACATTTGTTGAAATTCCCATCCATCTCCTCAGAAAACTTTTTTTTTCAGTAATGGGAGTTGAGCTTAGGGCCTCCTATGTGCTACCTACACAAGTGCTCTACCATTGAGCCCTTTAACAAATTTATATATTTTTAATTTTGAGATAGGAACTCATTAAATTGCCCAGGCTGGGCTTGAACTTGCAATCTTCCTGATTTAGTCTCCCAAGTAGCTGGTACTACAGATACTACCACTATGCCCAGATGCAACAGAAATCTCTTGACACTGTCAAGCTCACAGTGGTAGGTACAAAGTTTTCCAAAATTCTAGTTTTTGGTTTAAAGTTTGGATTTCATCACTGGAAACAAAAACTCTGAATTATGTTCCTTGAAATGACAGGTTCCCTTTATTGACTTTTAAGAAAATAGTTTGCCAGATTCCCAGGTCTGAATATCCACAATTTATCTGCCAAATATTTTTTAAAAAGTAGAAATAGTATACCATTAAAAAAAAAAAAAGAACTCCTAGTTCAGCTTGCAACTCAATCAACTATGAAAGTGCTTTTCTTTGTGATAATCATCTCACTTGGGTGTGGAGAAGAAATGCTTTATGCATAGCTCTAATTTTACACCCTAGACTATCAAAAAGACATGCATCTAAGCCAGAAGATTTAATAAAATTAAATCATTTTCATTGTTTCATCAAGAGAATTCTTAAAGTGAAAATAGAATTTACTTTTCTACTATGATCCAGGGTGGGATGGTGAATACAGTGACCACTGTTATTATTCTCTGTTCTGTTGCTATAACAAAAGACTTGAAGCTGAGTAATTTGTAAAGATGGGTTTATTTAGATCAGTTTTGGAGGCTCAGGGTCTAAAATCAGGTGGCCCTATCTGTTCAGCCGCTGGTGAGAGCCCCCTCAGCTGCATCACAATATGGTAAAGCAATGGAAAGGGAAATTGTGCCATTCAGAAGAGGCCAAGCATGTGGGGTGGTCTCATGTTGTAACAACCCACTCTGGAGGGAATTAATAGACTCCATGAGAGCAGCATTAATCCCTTTGGGGGACAGTGCCCTGGTAACTTAATTATTTCTTCCCTCACACCAGGCCTCAGCACTTAAAGGTTCTACCCCCTCTCAAAATTGCTGGACTGAGGGACAAGCCTCTGGGTCATGAGGCTTTGTGGGACCATATCTAAACCATAGCAAATACTATTAGGTCTCATACCATTGCCCTGATTTAGGCTAAGGCATCTGAAGTCCTATCTACTGCTGCTCTTGCACAGCCAGTGTAAATGTTAATATAGTAAAAAAGGCAAACAAATGGGTCAACGGTGTTACTGGGAAAGTAAAATATCTTGAGAATTTCCCAGGGGTCTGCACACAACACTGACCACAATGCCCCCCTACTTCTATAGGAAAAAACCAATCAATTATTTAATTATGCTATCTACCTTGGTTAAAAAAAATTTAACAACCTTATTGAGGTAAAATTCCATAGAGTTTTCCCCATTATAACTGTATGATGAAATGATTTTAGGACATGCCAAGAGCTGTGTGATCACCACAATCCAGGTTTAACACAGTTCCATCATTCTAAGGTTTCCTTATAACAATTTGCAGTTAATCCCTGTTCTCATCCAGAGACCCAGGCAACCACAGGTCTGCTTTCTGCCTTGACAAATTTGCATTTTCTAGATTCATATATATGGAGTCATATAATGCATAGCCTTGTGTTTGGTGTTTTTCACTCTACATAATGTTTTTCAGGTTCATCCATGTGGTAGAGTCCTTGCCTAGCATGTGTGCATGTGTAAGGGCCCGGGTTCAATCATCAGTACATAAAACAGTTTTTGAGCTTCTGTTTCAGAGAAAAGATACTTTCATACTTAGGATTTTCCCATTTATCTTTCCATGCAGTGGTTTTTGAACTAAGCCCTGGGGTTCTACAGAGCTGCCTTGGGCTTCATTATTTGAAAAAACGTTCATCTTTCAAAAATTTCAGCCAACTACTGTCAGAGTGATAGGCTTAACAAAATGTTCCTTTGCTTGGAATAATCTGATTTCTTTACGAACAGAATACACTTGATATGTCAGAGTGAACTTATTGTTCCTGTCTTAGTTTCTTTGATGCTGAAGACAGTCAAACTGATTGCATTGACGTTGCTGTCAAGAGCTCTCCACTTCTCCCGTGTCATCTCCCAAAGGGAAGTGAAAATATCAAGGAGGGATCCTCAGTTCCCTTAAAAGTTCTCTCACCTCCTTAACTGTAAAGAAGGCAGCACCTTATTCACAGCTCAGGATGCTGATTGGAAGCACCCTCCCTGTGGGAGAAAGATGGAACATCTTTTTTCTTATCACTTCTTTTTATTTATTTATTTATTTAAAAATTTTAATTTTTATTGGTACACATTTGCAGAAAATAGTGATTACATTCATCACGAGGAGCTGGTACAGGCACATAACACATCTTATCCCTGTCTGATTCCCTCTTTCCCTCCTCCCTCCACCTCTTGGTACCCCTCCCATTTGCAAAACATTTATTTCCATATTTCCTATTATATCCCATCATTTCTTTGCTTCTTTTGTCCCAGGCCGAGGGGACACAGACAGAGGCAGTTCTGTAAGGTTCCCTTTTCTAGTTGGTTTGGGCTTAGATGTGTGGGGAGGAATCTCATATTCACTTTCTGGACCCAGCAATAGGAAGTTCTTTCTTACACAGAAGTAAAAGTAAAAGTTGGAATAAAAGTAATAGTTCCTGGGACTTCTAATGAGAGTCCCATACAGAGAAATGACACAAAAGCACTACACAGGAACTCTCAAAAGATTTGCCCCTACACATAAATTGTGTGTTTGAGTGTGCGCGTGGGTGCATGTGTCTGTGCATTTGAACTACTACATGTAAAATATATGAAAACTAGAAAAACAAATATAAGCAGGAGATTTGGGGACATGCATCCACATTTTAAAAATAGGAGCATACTAGATATAAAATAATCATTTCTGCTTTGGAGGAGTACAGTCTCATTTTCTATCTTATATTTGATTCCTCAAGTGGTATTAATATGAGATAGGATACTGTTTCCTTCAAATAAAAGGAATGTTATCATCTCTCTCCAGCATAGTGGTAGTTAGCTGGGATACCTTCATTCTACTAGATTTCATGGATGTTCACAAATGCAGAGGCTCAAGGCATCAGGTTCAGCTATTAAGTTGGGCCCCCAGTATCAGTAAGTACTTGTCCGTGGAAATTATTAGAATTATTAGTATCGTTAATATTTTGTTACAATTATATAATAGTAATGAGGTTGGCAGGTAAAGTCTCTGCTTTTTGGAAGCCTTTTTTTGTAAATAAAATAGAGCTCTGAATCTCATTTTATATCAAACAAATGTGGAATAGAGAAAAATCAGTTTTAAAGCACATAATATTTTTCATGCCATTACTTCTCAAGGTAGGCTGGAAACATTTAAAATAATCTTCAAAATTTGTGACATTTTCTTTTTCTTTTTCTTTTCTTTTCGGTACTGGGGATTGAACTCCGAAACTTGTGCAGCTAGATCCCTTGTGCACTGAGCTAGATCCCAGGCCTAATCTTTAAAATTTATGAACAGAGTTGTAAGAAACTGTTTAGTACAGATTTAACTGCCTACCAACAACTTTAGAACAAAGTTATTAAGTCACTGCATCAATAATTAAAAGCGACAAACTACAATGTTATAAATTCCACTGAGAATTGTAAGTTAAGGGATATTTCAAAAAGATGATGTATTTCCAAGCTTCTCAAAGAAATAATTAGATACAAATGCAGAGAATGAACTAATTTGGAAGAAATATATTCAGTTTTGCCCAGGATGCTTTCATTAGTTAGGATAAGGTAGATTATGTTGCAATAAAACAACTCCCATATCAGAAATTTAATAGAATACAAGTTTATCTCTTGCACATGCTACATGCAGTGCAGGATGTAGGAAGCTCTGCTCATGACAGTCATGCAGGGACTCAGGCTAACAAAGGGGCCATGTCAACATGTGCTTTCATAATTACCAGGGCTGGAGTTGAGGATAGGCTACATAAATGCTTGTATATACTTGGCCAAAGCTTGTCACAGGACACCCAGAATGAATAGTAGAGAGAACACAATCTTACTATGTGTTTGGCAAGAAGAAAACTGGAATATTTATAGATAGTCCTAGGAAATGTCACAATTCTATTTAAAAAAAATACATATTCTTGATCACGGAACTAATATTAATCATAGAGCTCTCCTGAACTGAGTGGTCTGAGGTACAACTATGTCAAGTATCTTAATTTATATTAACTTACATGTGTTTCATAGAAATATGGAAAAAATTTTATTGAACGTTTATACTGGGCCAAAATGCTATTCTGAGTTTAGAATTCAAAATTAACTGCAACTATTTGGCTAGCTGACTGTAGTGGTTAGCACTGGTAACACTGTGTTAAATGCAACCTGGACATAACAAAAGCTATAGGTTATACTACAGAAAACTGCATGCAGGCATGCACACACACACACACACACACACACACACTTTTATTTCTTCATTTTCTTTTCTTTCTTTTTGGTTTTTTGAAATAGTGTCTCATTATGTAGTTTAGACTGGCCTTGAACTTACTATGTAATCCAGGCGGGCCTCCAACTGCTGAATGGTGCAATTACTGGCATGTGCCACTATACCTGCCCATTTCTTCATTTCTCATTTTTCTTTCCAAGCAATAAAATAAAACAAAACACATGGGAAGGGCAAGAAATCACATAACTGTGATCCATGACAAGAACAATAGTTTTAGGAATTCAACTGTGAACTCTGTCAGCCTCCTGGTACCTACAAGATTG